CAAAGATATTAAAATATTATTTTATTGTATTTTTTGTTAATAGATTTAAAAATCAGCGAGACTAGCATCATCTTGAAGTATTTACGACAACTAATCGGATCTTTGATCGGATTGAACAGTGATACTCAACGATGAACTTCCTAAAGTTTTGCTTGAAACGCTTATTACCAACATTATCAAAATAACTTCAATGGCACCCATGAAACTATCAAACATGACTAACATATAATGGAGCCAATACTTATCGTACGATAAAAAGATAGTTGAAATGTTCTAGTAACGCTTTATAAAATTTTTTCTTTCTTACTTCCATAATATATAAAAAATTTATATTGAATGCGTTAAAATGTGTTAAAATTTGTTGTTTTATCTTAAAAACTTTAAATTTTGTTGTATTTAACATCTCTATGTCATAATTTTATTGCAATTGTAAAATCACAAATTATGTATCTCATCGAGCAAATTTCAAATTTTATCTGATTAAAAATCAAAATAACTTAAAATGAAAGACAAACGAAAATCTTTATTTATAATAGAACAAGTTAAATAATAATAGCTTGCAGTAAAAATAAAGATGTACAGTGCTAATCAAAAAATAAATCAATTTAATATAAAATTATTTATTTTTATTTTTTCCATTCAAGTGTATGTAAGATAGTCATATATTTATATTTATATATAAAAAAACAAAGGTTTTATAAACGATTAATAGATCTTTAAATAAACATTTTATAGAGATCTAATTTAAAGGACACAAAAATCTTTAATCAAAATTTTATGTCTACATCAACTGATCTCTTTGATTAAAAAGTTGTTGATTTATCTTTTCAACATAATTTCGTACTGGATTGCATTTTATAATTTCGTTATTATTATAATATAAAAAATCAACACATTAAATCTTATTTTTGGCTCTTATAAATCTAATTTCTTATTATTTTTTTAATGTTACATTGTAATATTTCTGTAAGCGAACTGTTGCTGCAATACTGCAGCAATGTTGTAGCAAAATTTCACAATGTTTCACACATCAATTTTGATTTTGAGGGAGACATTTAAGTATATTCAATGCAACGAAATTTTTTTATCATCTTCATCAAGATAGCTATATATATATCCCTTCAAAAATTTTAAATGACAATAGAGATCAGATGGTAAATCATTTTAAGAGATCTTTTAATTTTCTGTACGACTCTTTCGTTATTTTTTCTTTTTTATTTAAGTAAATATTTTTCGAGAAATCGCGTACTTGGAAGTTTTAAGTGGTTTAAGTTTTAAGTTTTTTTTTAAAATGATCAAACAATCGTCAAAAAGGAGGATAAGAGAACCAATCTCTATCACTTTCTATTCAACGCTTAGAAAGAAAGAGAAATGACGTATTCCCACTTTATCTCTTTCAATTTATCTGATCACATTTAGTACACTGTTTAATACACTAAACTTTTAGTTACGAATAGCGCAGTCTATGCTCTATATCGGTGGAAAAAAACAAAATTTTAAAAATATTTAAAATAATTTTTCAGAGAAAGTAAAAAAGAAAAAAAAATTACAACTTCTCAAACATTAATAGACTAAGTTTTAGTTATAATATATAAAAAGACAGTGCACGTAGAGATACTCTTCTTCCATTCATCTTTATTATTTTATTAAATTTTAATACTATACTTATTTAAAATGTTATTTTACGTTATATACAAGCTCTGTAATAATATTAAGAAAATATCGCAAATTAATCGAATTAAATGTAACTAAAATGTCAAATATACAAAGAATATAAAATCTATCTTAAATTCTTCAAATGTTAATATTTCTTTATCATTAAATTATCTCCTGAAATAAAAAATATTGATTTAACAATATTTGGATTTAATATTAATATATTTAGTAATAAAACTAATATTTTTATACTTATATGTCATTATTTTACATTTCTTTGTTATTATAATTTTTTTATTTATAAAATTTCCAGATTAAATATTGTTACCTCATGATGAAGGTTATTTTAATGGTTTCAAGTCAATCAACTAAAGATCAAAATCAATCAAATGGACTATATAACAAAAATTCATCAAAATCAGAAGGAATAGGAGACCTAGCAAAATATATATTCCACAGACTGTTGTTTGTAAAATATATAAGTATATAAACATATAAGTATGTAAAAGTTAATTAATAAACATATAAGTATAAAAGTATACAAGCATATAAGTATATGAAAGTTAAAGAAAAGAAATTTAAATTGTAAAATTTTAGACTTATATTGTAAAGTCAATAATTACAATAATGCATATTTTATGTAAATTTTGCTCTTAAATTCTTCGTGAAGAAATGAATATTAAATGAATATTAAAAACGATGCAATAAATATTTTGAAAGATTGTGTATAAAATATTCCGACGTTTTTTTATATTTATATTATAATTTTAATTTATACAAAATTATTTTTATGTTGTTTAATCTTATTATATTCGATAGTTACACATAATATTATTTACATTTTACTTATTTATGTATTATGTACAGTTTAACATCGCATTTAATATAAGTTTTTTTATATAATATGGAAAAAAGAAAGAAAAAAGTTTATAACATGTCATTAGAGCGTTTCAACTATACCATTTTATCGTACGATAAGTATTGGCTCCATTATATGTTAGTCATGTTTAATAGTCTCATGGGTGCCATTATGGTTATTGTAATAATGTTGCTAAAAAGCGTTTTAACTACATCATTTTATCGCGCGATAAGAATCGGCTCCATTATATGTTAGTCACGTTTGATAATTTCATAGTGATGGATGTCATTATGGTTATTATGATGATAATATGCGTTTTAATATCATTTTATCGAGCTGAAAGTATCGTTGAAGTTTGGAAAGTTCCTAGAGCGATTTTTAGGAAGTACATATAAATAACAAAATACATCATATATATGTAAAATAGTACAATATAGCATAGCATAAAACATAATATTTCAACACGCTTTACGAAAGACACCCTTATTATCGAAAAACCACCCTTCAAATAATTAAAAAGATTCTAGTTTCGCCAAAAATAATTTCTCGCATTTCTATTGTCAAATTCGGCGACTTCCAAAGGCAACGCACAAAATGGGGCCGACATTGGTCCGATATACCCTGCGGAAGACACCCTTATTATCGAAAAACTACCCTTCAGATAACTAAAAAAATTCTACCTTCGTCAAAAATAATTTCTTCTATTTCTACTGTCACACACTTCCAAGTGCCACGCACAAAATGGGACCGACATTGGTCCGATATATCCTGCGGAAAATATTCTTATTATCGAGAAACCACCCTTCTAATTATTAAAAAAATTCTAGCTGTCCAATTTTATGCGTGCCACTTGTAGTAAGAGTGTCTTCCGCAAGGTCTGATATCGGTCTGATATCGGTCTTAATATCGACTAGTACTAAATATACATTATTTACTTAAAATTTCTGACATAAATTATGAAAAAAGTTTATAAACATTTACGGCGTACAACAATGTCTTTATATGAATTGATATCGGTCCAATTTTGTGCGTGGCACTTGGAAGTCGCCGTGTGTAGCAGCAGAAATGGAAGAAATTATTTTTGAAGAAACTAGAATCTTTTTAATGGTCCAAGAGGTGGTTTTTCGATAATAAGAATATTTTCCGCAGGATATATCGAAGCAATGTCGGGCCCATTTTGTGCGTAGCATTTAAAAGTCATGTGTAGCAGCAGAAATGGAAGAAATTATTTTTGAAGAAAATAGAATTTGTTTAATGGTCCAAGAGGTGATTTTTCGATAATAAGAATATTTTCCGCAGGATATATCGGGCCAATATCGGTTCCATTTTGTGCGTGACACTTGTAAGTCACCGTGTGTGACAGCAAAAATGGGAGAAATTATTTTTAGCGAAGCTAAAATTTTTTTAGTTATCTGAAGGGTGATTTTTCGATAATAAGAGTGTCTTTCACAGGGTGTATCAAGCCGATATCTGTCTCATTTTATGCATGGCCATTGGAAGTCGCCGTGACAGTTGAAATGGGAGAAATTATTTTCGTGCAACGTTAGAATTTTTTTAGTTATTTGAAGGGTGATCTTTCGATAATAAGGATGTCTTAGGACGTATTAAAATATTATGTTTTATGGCTCCATTATATGTTCGTCATGTTTGATAATTTCATGGTTATGCGTGTCATTGTGGTCATTATGATAATAATAATTGTTATTAAGCATTATTATTATTATTATTATTATTATTATTATTATTATTATTATTATTATTATATTCTTACTTTTAAACAATATTATTATTTTTAATATTATTATTATTTGATATTAATGTCCAAAATTGCCTCTATTAATTGCATTATACGTCATTCTACGTCTACAATAAAAGTGCTTGTAATTAATAAAAAATTCTTTAGATGTTTGGAATTATTTTTATAAGTTATTAAAAAAATAATATAGTGATATAATATACATATACATTAAGTAATTTTGTTATACAAATTTCTCTCTTAATCTTTATCTTTCTCAAAAAAATATTTATTCAAAATTTTGTAAGTGTTATTACTTAAATCATTAATGTATCTGAATGCAATGTTCTCGTATTTGATGCACTTGTATATCTCAGTTTATACATATATATACATATATAGTAATTCTTTTTCATTTTATATGTTAAATTATGTAATAATTATATTGATTAATTATATTGATCAATTCTAATATACTTTTTACATATATTATTTTGAATTAAACAATTAATAAAAAATATTTTCTTCATATATTCTTTATAAGAATTTAAAAGTATTTTTTAAACTCACAATATCTTATCATAAATGATGTTTTAAAATTTAATTGCACCAAGATAAAAAGTTCATTATTTGCAGATAATTTATTGTAAAAGTTGCAATTAGTTGGAAATTACTTTGTTGCGAAAGAATTTAATAACATATGCAATTTTATATAATTATTTTACTGTTTTATAAATAAAGAACCGAATATTGGTACGTCATTGTATAGCAAAACTTAACGTGCAATTTTTCATTGCAATTTAACTTGAAATTTGCATTACAAGTTTTTCGAAGAAGGATTAAAAGTGAGTATCAAATATATAAATTATATACATTAAATTCTATTAGATGACTTTAACTTAAAAGTGCACTTTTTTAAAACAAAATAATCATTTATTTTCAATAAAAAAAAATTAATTCTAATATATATAATTCACTTTTAAAAAAATATAGAAAATATAAAGATATTCCGAATCATGAACTCTCTATCACAATATCTATCAAATCAATAAACTATCCGTCCAGAAAAGATAGAGATGTATGTAAGAGCAGGTCGGACGTGTCGATACTCCCATTTAATCAACGAGCGACAGAATCCATTCGTAGCAACGGTATCGACGCATATCCTGTAAAAAAAGCATTCACACATTTTTCAGCCCAACGAATAATTGCTAAAAAACAATATTCGCGGACTAGAAATATGCGAGGTGCAAGTGGCTGGATCGAAATCGAACCCGAGTCTTTCGCTTTCCGGGCAACTGCTTTAGACCATTGAGGTATCCAGATCTCACACCTAATGCTGTTTTTCAACACAGTGATATGCGACTTCAGAGCGATGTTAGTATCTTGCTCGACTCAATGCCGATTGCCATGGAGGATCCTTGAAAAGGTCGCTCGCTGACCAATAACTGACATATAAAATAGCTACCAAATAAATATTATTTTACGCTACATACAAAAGAACTTATATACAGTAAAAAGATATCGCTAATTAATCGATTTAAGCGACATTAAATATACGAACAATATGTTATCTGTCTTCTATTCTATCAATTTGAGTCTTCTTCATTATCGAGGCATCTCCTAAGAGCATTCTGTTATCATAAATATGCCCAAGAATAAACATAAATTTAATAACACTTAAATTTAATATTATAGATTTAATAATATAATTGATATTTTTTAATTTTTGTATTATTATCTTGTATTTCTTCGTTATTATTAATTTTTGATTTATAACATTCGCAGATGAAACTTATATTTGTTTTCATGATAATAATGGCTATCGGAATGATATCGACTGTTACAAGTGAGGACGCTGACGATTCAGGAGATAATAGTGATGGAGATAATAGTGATGGAAATTCTGGAATTTTCAATTGTATACTGTCATTGCCGAACAAAATATGGTCAATAATATGGTAACATCCATAAATATAATGTGTTGAACATATTAAAATAAGTGAACTTTAGTAAATAAATGTTAAACAGCATGTCATATAAATTTTTTTGGTCAGTTAAATAAAGCTGATTGTCAACAGAAAATAATATGTTATAATTCTGTAGGTATTATGTAACTTCACATACAAACCATTCGCTTGAAAAAATTATATATTTTTTTAAAAGGGCTTAGAGAATTATTCTTCTAAATTTTCAGAGTTTTCCTATAATCTTCCTTTATTTTTCTTTGTTTTATCTTAAAAACTAAAAATTTTATAGTATTTCTAATAATTTTATAACCGAATGTTAAATTAAAAAAAGAAAGAAAGAAAGATGGAAGATTGTGCCAAATAATCCGTTTAGCTTTTGGAATTTTTTAAAATTTTGTATGATATTTTATTAGATACATACATTAAATCATATATTTACTCGCAAATGTATGAATGGTAAAACTTTAGAAAAAGACATCGACAGGGTCGAATCGTCTTGATCTTGATATATGTTATCAAGGTCACTGTCCTGAGTAACATTCAAAATATTTTAGCCGTCGCTCGTTGTTTATGTTAAAAAGTTATTAACAAAAGAATTTCCACGAATTATATGCAATATTCGACTATACGAATTCCTAAGCAATGTTGATTTAACTTCTAAGAAGCCCTAGGCTATTTTAACTTTATATACAAAGCGAGGTCCACCCCACGCCATCCCTGAGTCAGTGCGAAACGAGGTCTAAATGGAAATATTTCAAGAAATGGAATTAATCAGGGAGTGGAACAATGATAGGTTTCTGTGTTTTTGATATTTCTTGTTTCTGTGTTTCTGTGTTTTTGATATTTCTTATGACTTTAAAAATATTTAAGAAAAGATGAATTAATACAAAACAGATTGTTGTACAGTTAACCTGAAGTTCTACGAGTTTCTCGCTTTAACAACAAAATATGATAAGATATTAAACTACTTGTGCGCGAAAAATGTTACATTTGTTACTTTTTATGCAAAGGGAAGTGTATCCCGCATCACAAACATGGGTTGAGTTAAGTAATATCTTCTGAAAGTGGAGCCCCCCGCAGGAGAGCGGAACACACTGTCATTGTATGTTCTTTTGGTAGAGATTCATAAGAAACGTTCGCATAATTCATAGATTAATCGCAAAATGTATAGATGAATAATTTCGAAGTACAATGTCTTCTGGTTGTAAGATTGCACTTATGATAAGTTGTTTTTTTATAACTAATGCGATTATTTATTTCAGAAATTTTTCCAAATTTACTCGGACACTCGTTTGGGCAAAAATAAAATAAGATTGAGAGTAATGTTTTTGTAGTAAAACTTTAGAAAAAGACACCGGGGAAATCGAATCGTCATGATCTTGACATATGATGTCAAAGTCACTGTCCTGAGTAACATTCAAAAGATTTTAGTCGCTCGTTGTTTATTAAAAAGTTATTAATAAAAGAATTTTCGAATTATATGCAACATGCGGTAATTATTTACTTATACGGACGACCTTCCGATTTCAATAATTCTCATATGTCATCAAGATCATCACTTTGAGTAATGTTGTGAAGATTTTAGTCGACGGTCATTGTTTATTAAAAAGACATAAACAAAAGAAATTTCATAAGTTCACTAATACATTTATCGCAAGAAAAGTCAATTATTGCATAATTCCATATAGATATGTAACTATCTATGCAAAGTGAAGTGTATCTCGCAACACAGATTGGGTTGGGTTATATCTTATCGATTATTGTGGAAGATATCGCTTGCTAGGTATTCAAGGTATTCAATTTCATTAAGTATTATTAAAAAACGAGCCGATTATGCACGTCCTCGGGAGATGTGTGTAATTCTTTCTTAGAGACGTGCGATTCGATCGATTCATGCACAATAGTTTGAGATTACTCTCGTAATATTTTGTTGCTTATGTCTAAAATTTAAAAGTTTTGTTTCTTAGAATAAAACGTGAACGAAAATCTTGATTTATGATAGAGCAAGATAAGTAATAGGTTACAGTAATAAAGACGTACGATGATAATCAAAAAATAAAGAAAATTTAATATAAAATTATTTATTTACTTATTTTTATTTTTTCTATCCAAGTGTATGTAAGATAGTCATATATTTATATTTAATAAAAAACAAAGGTTTCATAAACATAAACAGTTAATGAATCTTTAAATAAACATTTCATAGAGATCTAATTTAAAGAACATGAAAACTTCTAATCAAAATTTTGTTTGTATCAACGAATCTATCTTTTTGATTAAGAAGTTGTTATCTTTTCAACATGATTTCTTACTGGATTACATTTTGTAATTTCGTTATTATGATAATATAAAAAATCTACATAAATTAATTATAATTAATTATATCGTAATTATATCGTGTTTTTGACATTTATATGTCTAATTTCTTATTATTTTTTCGTACGTAAAGATATTATGCTCATATGAATATACACAAAGTATTATCGCATATATTGCTGCAATGTTACATTGTAATATTTCCGTAAGCCGATGTTTTACTGTTGCTGCAATACTGCAGCAATATTGTAGCAACATTTCACAATGTTTCTGCAATGATGCAATCTTGCAGAAAAATATTGTTGCGATGTTATTGTAATCTTACAATGATGCATGGGAATGATTTCTCACGTATAAGTAAGTATTTAAATTAATAAAATTTAACCCATATTTTTAAAATATTTTTTACATTATCATACATTAATATATACATTATTTGCGAATTTTTGTGTGGTACAGTTCTCCATATCTGATGCCCAATAATATTGAAATTATCTTTCGGATAGAGATCGCAGATCGCGTCAAAGATATGTCATGTGGCCCCCGTATAATTGAAAAAGATAATCTGATATTGAACGTAATTAAATGCAATGTTTTTTAGATCAAATCAGCTGTTTTACAACGTTATTATTTTTTTACATCGCAATACATTACAATAATCTCTGCTATAATAATCACATGCTGTGATAACACATATCATATCTTATTAAATAATTTTGATATTAAAAGACTGAAACACTTTATAACCGAGTAGTTTGTGAAAAATTGAGTGATATTGTATTTGATATTATATTTGAAAGTAATGAAAATTTTTATTTACTTACGTTTATAGAAGTAAAGTTATTTACACAATTATCTATTTTTTTATTATTATGGTTGAGTACATAATTATGAGAACATGATAATAATATAAGAAAATATAATATAAGAAAATAGAAGATAGAAGAAAAAATAGAAGAAAAAAATTGTTATTTATAGTTTTCCTGATGAAAAAATATTTTTATGATAGTCATATACTAGAAAGATATATTTATAAATATAAAGATAAATAAAAATATTTTAAAAATATTTTAAAGCTTTAGCAAATGATAATGTACACGTTTTATTGTTTCAGTGATGATTTTATATAATTAATAGAAATAATTAAAAAAATACTGCACAATGGTTCGGCAAGTTTTTTCTGGTCCTATGATTCATGCAGATGAAAATGGAGAAGTGATTTTTAAGAAGTGGGTTGCAATTCTTGTCGAAGATGGCAAGGTATTTAACGTATTTAACGTATTTATTATACGTAAAAGTATTTAACGTATTCCATATATTACCTTTACTACTTTTTGTTTTATTAATAATTTATCTAATATATATAAAATATATATAACAATAACAATATCTTTATTAACATCTGTATCATACGATATATAGATTATTGATGTTATGGAAAATCCAACAACAGATCGACAAAAGATAGATGATTTTCATGCAGACCAAGTTAATAATTTATCACCAGGACAATTTATAATACCTGGATTTATCGATTGCCATATTCATGCAGTGCAGTTTCCGAATCTTGGATTGGGTTACGAAAAAACTCTCTTAGACTGGCTGGAGACCTATACTTATCCATTGGAGAAGCAGTTTACTGATGAAAAATTGGTAAAACAAGTATTTGAAGTGGTTGTGGTATGTAAAAGAAAAACATAATATATTATCAAAGAACAATATTTATATAGCAATATAAAATAATGCTATGTAAATAATACAAAATAGTACTATAATATGTAAAATAATACTATAAAATAATACTATAAATAATATATATAGTACATTATTATAAAATAATAACTGTATCTGACCTAAAATATTCTTATTTTTTGATTATTATTTTAATTGTTATTACACAGAAACGAACTATACAAACTGGTACAACAACAGCATGTTATTTTTCATCTTTGTATACCGAGGTATCTATGATTCTCGCGGAGAAATGTTCACAGTTTGGTCAACGGGCTTTCGTCGGAAAAGCAAACATAAACGTTCCACGGGATAATGGATATTACGAAAGCACGGAAAAATCAATCGAGACTACTAAGGCCTTTATAAAAGCTGTCGAAGAAATAGGAGTAAATGCAAATTTATGTCTTATTTCCTGCACATTGTGACAAGATAATATATTATAATTTTCTAATTTTATATGTGTGTGTGTGTGTGTGTGTGTGTGTGTGTGTGTAAATAGAAAATTTTAGATTAATACATAATCTCACGTAAACAAAAAATACGTCATATTACTCAAAATTTCTTATAGAATCCCCTTGTGAGACCAATTATCACGCCAAGACATGCATTGAGCTGCAGCATGGAATTATTGCAAGCTCTAGCAAAGATTGCTAAAGAAAAAGATTTACATATACAGGTATATTACACTCGCGTAATATTTTTCATATATTGATATCAATTTAACATGTTTTTCATTTTCTGTAGAGTCACATTGCTGAAATTAAAAACCAAGCAAAAGGAATAAAAAGAGCATTCGGAGAAACCACATGTACAGCTATTTTTGAATCTGCTGGTCTTCTTACCAACAAGGTAAGACTTAACTATATTTTGTCAATTTATTAAATAGGTGAAAGAAAGATACTATATTTATTATTCTCCTATATAATAGAGATATTCAGACTAAATATATGTATATAAAACAGATTTAATGTATTTTTACAGACAATATTAGCACACGGAACCTATCTTGAGGATAGTGAACTTCCCATACTTGCAAAACGAGGAACAGGTATAATTCACTGTCCATCTTCGAATATAAATCTGAAAAGCGGTCTTTGCGATGTGCGAAGATTAAAGGCTAATAATATCGATGTCGGTCTTGGAACAGGCAAGAATTTTATTTTGTAAAAATTTTATATTAATAATGACACATTTTGATATAAAATTCAATAATAAACATGAATCAACATTTTAATGTAATAATTAATCGGACATAATGTTCATATATTCAATGCAAAATTAATCGATATAATGTTTATTATAATGTTAATAATAAATGTATCTTCTCTCAGATGTTTCAGCTGGATCAAGTTACAGCATCTTGGATGAAATGAGATCGGCTTTACACGTATCAAATTCTCTACATCTAACGAGACATAATTATGTACCGTTAGATTATAAAGATGTCTTCTCTATGGCAACATTAGGAAATGCTAAAGGTAAGGTTCGAATACATATTACGATAATTATCATAATAAAATATGTCTTTTTATATAATAATATATACTATAATTTTCAATCTAAGTGTATATTGACTGTGTTTAGCGCTTTCGATTGAGGACAAAATCGGTAACTTGATGTCAGGCAAAGAATTTGATGCTCTCGTCATAGATTTGGAAGCAGGAAACAGCTTGTTGGATAACTTCAGAGAATATACACTCGAGGAAAAACTCCAAAGATTTATATATTCCGGCAATGATAATAATATAGTATCAGTTTATGTAAAGGGTAGAAAAATTAAATAAGAAAGATTTTATTTTATAAGGCGTTACTGTTACAATTATTAAAAATCATTTCGTAACGAAAATAAGCTGTTGAATGAATTATAAAATGCTACTATGTTATAAACAAATTTATAATTCTCAAACAATAACAGACTCAGTCTTACAATTAGTAATAATATATAAAAAGACAATGCACGTAAAAATGCTCATTTATCTTTATTATTTTATTAAATTTTAGTACTATACTTATTTAAAATGTTATTTTACGTTATACATAAGCTTTGTAATATTAACAAAATATTGCAAATTAATCGAATTAAGCGTAGTCAAAATATTAAATATAAAAAGAATATGAAATCTATCTTAAATTTTACAAATTTAAATATTAATATTTCATCATCGAATCATGTCCTGAAAACACTTTATTATTATAAATGTGTCCAATAATAAACATAGATTTAAAAATATTTGGATTTAATATTAATAGATTTATTAATATAACTGATATTTTTTAACTTATATACCATTATTTTACATTTCTTCGTTATACTTTTTGATTTATAAAATTTGCAGATAAAATGTTGTTGTCTTCATGATGATAGTTAGCGTAATGGTATCAATTGTGTGAGTATATTATTGTATGTAGAAAATTAATTTTTTAATTCTTATAAAAAGATGCAAAATTTATTTTAAAATATCATTTTCATTAATATCCTTTTTCTTTTGTTAAAATTTGTCACAATTTGATGAATAGAAGTACATAATATCTCTAGATCGTATATTCAATTTTTGTTCCAAAATCAGATTCTCTCCCCATTATCGAAGGATTTTTAAACTTTATCTGATACCAAAAATTAAAATAACTGATTTAAAAAACAACATTTTATTCCTCTTCTTTTACTTTTACTTCTTTTATACGAGACTCTAGTAAATTTTATGGAAAAATTTCTCAAAGAAAGAACTAACCACAATACGGTTATGAGATAAGAGCTTATCATGTTTTTTAGAAAACACTGTACTTCAAAATTATTCATTTCTTCATTTCGCGATTAACCTCTGAATTATACACGATAGTTTCTTTTCAACTTTCATCAAAACAATATATAATAAATCGATTATTGTGGAAGATATCGCTTGCCATATATGCATTTAAGTTTATTAAGTATCATTCAAGGACGAGACGATGCGCGCCCTCAGTAAATATGTGCAAAAGCTATTTTCTTATTGTTCGTGTGCAATGTGTTCAATATGTGTGAATTAACATTACGTGTGCAATGTGCATGTACACAATAATGTCATATGCGCAATTTTTATGTATGCAATAATTATATGTGTGCAATGAGCATGTGTGCAATAAAGTCGTGTGCAATGTACATATGTGTAATAATATTATGTGTGCAATAGTGTTATGTGCGCAATCGTACTTCCGCAATTTTATTTTTTTCATGTGTACAAAAATACATATAGGCAACCGAGAATGTCGGCAAAAGAGGCTGTCATCAAAATGTTGTGCAAACGAAGCAGTTGGCAAATGTATGTAACTGAAGTCTTGAATGTAGGCAACTGAAGCCTTCCCTAAAAGTTAAATGTGAAAGATTCAGACTGTAAAATTTTAAATTGTAAAATAAGTGATTACAATAATGCATACTTTAACAATAATGCAAATTTTGCTCTTAAATTTTTTATGAATTAAACGATTATTAAAAACGAATGTAATGTAATAAATATTTTGAGAGATTGTGTATAAAATATTCCGATGTTTTTTTATATTTATATTACAGTTGTAATTTATATAAATTTATTTTTATGTTTTTTAAACTTAGATATTCGGTAGTTACATATAATATTATTTATATTTTACTTATGTATTATTTATAGTTTAACATCGCATTTAATACAAATTATTTTTATATTTTTTAAGTTATATATTATAGAAGTAAGAAAGAAAAAAGTTTATAACATGTCATTAGAGCGTTTCAACTGTACTTCATTTTATCGTACGATAAGTATTGACTCCATTATATGTTAGTCATAATCGATAATTTTATGGATGCCATTGTGGTTATTGTGATAATGTTGCAAATAATAATTGTTATTAAGCATTATTATTATTATTATTATTATTAGGCAACATTCTTACCGTTAGACAATATTATTATTATTTGATATTAATCTCCATAATTGTTGCTATTAATGCATTATATCTTTGATTAGAAAAAGTAATTATAATTAATAAAAAATTTTTTTTATATCTGGAATTATTTTTATAAGGTATTAAAAAATAGCATAATGATATAATGTACATATAGCATCGCGGCGCCAAATACATAAAAAACTGATAAAAAACTAGATTCGAGCATTGAGAATCACTGTTCTCGACGCGGCGCTACCAAGCTTATTCGGAATTTTATATCAAATAAATTTTCGACTAAAATATTTCAAAAACTAAAGTTTATTATGTCAAATAAATTTTCGATTAAATTATTTCAAAAACTAAAGCCGTAATCAAAAGTGTAACGGCATTTTTATTATATAATGTGAATAGAAGTTTTCGATTGCAACCAATTTGAATAAAATCGGTGCAGTCAATCCCAAGAAATAATAATTGCATGTCAAAATTGTGACATTTTTCATTTTTCTTCATAATAAGATTCGAACTTATGAACATATCTTCGCACGCATATATTCAAAGCGATTTTGTCCCTCAAACTGAGTTCACACCGCGCATAAATGATTATTCGCTTTGATGTTGCAAAAATGCTTTAAGAGACAAAAATATTTATATACATGTGTGTGTATACGTGTGAGAGATTAATTTATCGCAACAATTTTCAACAATCTCTTAGGGGTAAAATCTAATATCTCGAAAACGTGTCACAAAAATATAAAAACTATGCCGTTAGATAAGATTTCTAAGGAGACTAATTTATAATTATAATAATATTCAAAAACCCCACCCCTCAGAAGTGAATTAAAAGCTAGAAAACGGAGCCTCGTAAAAATACGCGACATACTCTCTTAATTAAGATTTTTAAAAATGCATATACATTTTTTCCAGAAATAATATAAACTTTTACAAAAAAGTGGTGATATCCTTCTAAAAACAACCTTATAAAGGTAAAAAAAAATATGTCAAGTACATAAAAAAGAATCTTTAAGAAAATCAAAAAATCTAAAAGAGTGACAAAAATAAAATATTTAAAACCGATGAGATTAATACTATTAGCCAAGTAGAATAAATTATGTGATATTAATTCGTAATGTGATATTAATTCGTATTGATACTAAATGAGTTAAGATTACTTTAATTCCTAAGACACTTTTTATATGACGTATATAATTTAAAAAAGTTTTACACAAATTCTAAATCGCATAAATGATCTTCAGATCAAAGTAAAGTATGAAAACTTAGCGTGCACCTCCTCTCCCTCCCGCCCCGTCGTTTACATATCTTGAATAAAATAGAAAATTTTATTATACAATATACATACATACGATATATATATTTATTAATCCTTTTATTTAGTAAATACAATTTACATTTTTATAAGATAAGCTTTGGACTACGAATAGGCAATTGGCAGCCTGTGGTCTAGAAACGACCCCGGCTTTTCAATTCAGCTTACAACAATCAAACTTTACTTGCAGAGAAAATTAAAAAACTCATAAAAAAAGAGATTTCACTTTGCCTAATCTCCATATAATGATTTCCAGGTAATACAGAGGAAGCATAAAATCCAAAAAAAGGACTTTCACTTTGCCTTATCTTTAAGTGATGATATAACGATTTCCAGGTAATACAGAGGAGACAAGATATATAAGTTCGAAAATTTAGCTACGGGCGTGCACAGTCCGTAGTGTAATTTCAAATTTTACATTAGGCCCATCAAAAATCTAGCTTTTTCCTGTTTTAAACTATATGATTTGAATACGGGGCATGCTAAGTTTTCATATCTTATTTCGACCTGAAGGTCATTTGTGCGATTTAGAATTAGTGTAAAACTTTTTTAAATTATATGCATCATATAAAAAATGCTTTAGGAATTAAAGTAATCCTTACTCATTTAGTATCGATTACGAATTAATCGATTATGAATCACATAATTTATTGTGACTAATAATATTGATTTCATATATCGGTTTTTAAATATTTTATTTTTATCACTCCTTTAAATATTTTAAATTTTTTTAAAGATTTTTTTATATGTACTTAGCGTATTTTTGTAACCTTTATAAGGTTTTTTAAAAGGATTAAACTATTTCGTTATAAATTTCTCTCTTAATCTTCATCTTCCTCAAAAAATGATTTATTTAAAATTTTATAAGACTTATTCCTTAAATCATTAATATATCTAAATGCAATTTTCGTATTTGATACAATTATATATGTCAATTTATATACATATATATATATATTACATATATATATATATATATATATATATATATATATATATATATATATATATATATCATAATTTTTTTTTCAATTTATATATTAAAATATGAAATAATTATATTGATCAATTCTTATATGCTTTTTATATTATTTTGAATTAAACAATTACTAATAAAAAATATTTTCTCTATATATTCTTTATAAGCACTTAAAAATATTTTTTAAACTTACAATATGGTATCATGTAAATGATATTTTAAAATTTAATTGCACCAAGATAAAAAATGCATTATTTGCAAACAGTCTATTGTAAAAGTTGCAATTACTTGAAAATTAGTTTGTTGCGAAAGAATTTAATAACATATGCAATTTTATATAATTATTTGACTGTTTTATAAATACAGAACTGAATACTGATACGTCATTGTATAGCAAAATTTTACGTGCAACTTTTCATTGCAATTTAACTTGAAATTTGCGTTATCAATTTCTCGAAGAAGATTAAAAGTAAGTAGCAAATAGATCAATTATATGTGCGTTGAGTATTATAAATAATTCTAATATAAATAAAGCTCTTTAAAATAAAAATAAAAAATAAGAACAAAGATACTCCGAATCATGAACTATCTCTATCACAATATCTAATCCATAAACTATCTATTAAAATATCTTATTCCTTATATGTATGTATATACTTTAATATATATTTTTATCGATATTAGTGAAATAAAAACAAGGGAAGATGTATTTCAGTGTACAATTGAATTGGACTAATCATAAATAGGTAAA